TACTTCGTAATAAAAACTCAAAAAACCGAGTTTCATGTGTGTATAATAATCAGATTATTTTTTAAAATTGCTGTTCGTTATATTGGAGTCATCATTTTGAATTTTTTATTTTTGGTCTGAGATTTAAATAAAGCATTATCAAATTACCAAATCCATAGATCAAGTTTCATAAAAATCGTACGAGCAGTTTACAAAATGAAAGAGGATGACTCCAAATGAGGTCACCCATCTATGAAGAGTTAATATATATATGTATATAAAATTTAATAATATATCAGTTCTCTTTTCTCGGTAAAGAATTTTCTCGATTTCTACATCAATTAACGAATTTTGTTCAATATTCTTTTCATGACAGTAATGTCGTTCGTCTATACATCAACCGCTTTGAAAGACGTATATTTCGATGGCATATTGTGACACACAAGGCGAACGAGTATTATAAATGTAATAGGGGCAAAGAGTTTCAGATTCCCTCGCTCGGTTTATGTGATCTCGTTGGTAAATCCGCTTGACAAATAACCCTCTATATACGAATATCTTGAACGAGAGCAAGATGCTCTCTTATAGAAGCTGCCTACTTACATCATTATCTACAAGTAATAGCTCATAGTTATCTACGAGTACATCTCCAGCCAGAAGCATATGAGTTTCTTCCGTGAAACGCTTTTTTTCAGGTTGTTATCGACGGATACTTTGAACAATGCTGAACGTTCCTCGATAGCGATCATTATCGGTAATTCGACTTTCAATTATAACCATAATTCGAGAATATTTACGAATCTATCATTAAATGTCGCGAAACAGACGAGAATAGCGATTCCTATTAAATTTCCTTTACGTTTATAGATATACGAGATTCATCGCCATCAATCGCTGTCGATGACAATTCGCGATTGTGAAGTATAACTAAATTAATATTGATTGTCTGTCTGTTCGTTACTGCGAGCTTGTGTTATTTATTTATTCCCTACATGTGCAGCGGTCTCGAAAAGTTTCTTCTTAATTATAAAGCGATTTATGTTGTAGGCAAACAACCACGATATACAGTAGTCTAACACGCACGTCTCTCTAGAATCGATCGATAATTAAATTACCGTAATGACCGCGTTGGGAATTGTTGAAAGGTATTTTGCATGTTAACTTCATTGTTTTTATTGCGATTTACTATGCATTTTATGCGCCTGCGAAAGCGCCGTCTGGCATGCATTTTTGCATATATCCTTTGACGTGGAAAAAGGGTGCGGAGCAGAAGGAAGCGAGCAAAGAGTTTCGTGCATGCTTTATGATCTCGTCGCTACGTCGCTAAGTCCTCTCGACAAACGACCCTTTGTACGTAAATACCTTGAATAAGAGCGGGGATGTTCTTATCTCCCATTAGTTCGTCGCGTAATTTCTCATTACAATGCGAAGATTACGGTTTCCTTAGAATTTCTGAATTTTACTCACCTCTTCCCTTAGTTAATTTTATTTCCGCTCGAAAAATATCATTAGTACGTGATCTCTTTAGACTTATTATTTATTATTACGTATAAATATATATGATGCAAATATCATTCTCTTAATTAACGAACGCTTTTATTTGAAGAAGATTCCAGACAAGTAAAAAAACTGTCTTCTTTCAATATTTATATTATTTCGGATTTCTTATGTATTGCAATTACATCATTTATAACTTATTTTCTAGAAAAATATAGTGGAGGTGTAAGATGTAAAACGATTTAGATAAAAACTCGTATATTGTTGTTCGTCTATATACAGTACGCGGTACAATTAACAAAGAACTCTCACGCGAATAAAACGGAAAAAGCGAGCCCGTGTCATTAGCGGTCTGTCCTGAATAGAAGTTTTTCTTACGATATAAAAGCTGCTAAAGTTACCCTTGTCACGAACGATGTATCGGATTTGTCGAAAATTTCGTATCGTCATTGCCGTTCGATGACTTGCTCACTCGCGCAAAAGCTTTCCGTGAGTTTCCGTGCAAAAGCACTTCTTTTGTCAAGAAAAATTGAAGGGACTTTAAAGGATGAGGGATGATCGCGATCTCTCAGCTTTATGTCGCGTTTCCGTTGCAGGTTTGCTATGTATCATAATATGTGACGTTGCTCGTAGAATTACCATACACTTTTTTATAAATCAGATTTAGCAAACAGTGCTTTAACAATTTTTCTATCATATATTTATTATATTTATATCGTTTTAGAAAAAACATAATTTATGCTTTTGTAGTATTTCTTTGGGGTTGATAATGTATCAATCATCGGATCATTATTCGTGTAATGAGAAACCGTATTATATCAAATTTGTGTTCATAATTAATTCACGAAATTATTTATATATTGTACATATATCTACGTACATTTCTCTCAAGAATTGAATACTGAATCGCGAGAAATAAAATTCACGCTATGTGTCAAGACAAATTTCATCTACAATATTAAACGAAGTCTTTAAGATCATAATATGAATACACTGACAAATGAAAGTTTTATACAGTCTGAACTAGATCTTACACTTAAATAATTCGGTGTGAATATACATATTCAATCCTGTGCACCGAAATAAATTTTATCAGTCTTGAAACACAATTATATATAAACAGAACTAAAGTAGTAATATCACAAATAAATTGACAAGTAATTTAATATTATTGATGCTAATAGGCATCTTAAAAGGATATTAATAATCCGATGCTATTAACCATTTTAAAATTTCTACAAATTTCATCTAACTTCTCAAATTAAGTCGCGATTGCAAATATTGAATATTAATTGATTCTTAAGTTTTTTTTATTGAACCGTCTCAAGACTGGTTTTAGCTGAGTTCTTCAGCAGATTATAAATACGGGCTTTAGTTATAATTGTTTGTCTCTTTATTGAGAAATTTTTTTATTTCTATATTTTATGAAAAATTCCTTACGATAGGACAGAGAGACTTGAAAGAGTGAGGGATGATTTTGTAATTTCGTAACGCAATTGTTCGATGACCTACTTGTGAGTATTATATATTTTCTACATTGTGACTTCTCAATTGATAAATGTAAGTGATACGTAAATTAATTGATTGAATGTACCTATAACGGTTCGCGTACATTTAAGTATTAAAGATAGAAATATCCTGATCTGATTCTTTGTTTTAACATTCTCATAATATCGCTCTCGTGGTTCTATTAAGCTGTCTCAGAATTATCGATCTTAATTTCAACTTGACATCATTAATGTGTGACATGTTGTATATCCATTGTTACACACATATATAATATGCATATACTGTTACACGTATACATAATGATTTTATGATGCTATTCTAGAATACTGAATAATGCTAAACGTCAAGTAGACAACTGGAATATAATCTCTACATGGCGCAATTTATGGTTGCATCACTGATGTGTTTCTTGCACCCTTCCCCCTTCTCCCCTCTATTCATCTTGATTATAAATCCTTTTTATTCGGCAGTTACATCGTACTGTAAATGCGGATGAACTCCGTAAGATGCGATTTCTATCGAATCCGTGTTAAATCAGACGAAATGCGAGAACGATGGGACGAGGCGAAAGTCGCTTTCAAAATCGTGCACACTCAAGATATGGAGACATATCTTGCGATTTATATCTCCGCTGATAAAGCGTCGTTTCTCTGTCTTCTAACGTTCTCGCCGCGCAGCATTTCTTCCTCAGGAAGCCGATCGCGAAGAGAGGAGGGAAGTCGATTTCTATCAAGTGAACACTAAATCGAATTACAGTCGATTTTTCTATACGCGTGATGTCAAAACCGGAGATGCCGCGTAAGGAGACACGATATAGATTATTTGCATACCTACTTCTCTCTTCCATTCGCGTGCTCTTCATCCCGTGTACCGTCCGTTTTGAAATCGCTACCTGGCAGATATACGATAAGCCATTGTCAATTACCGCACGTATCGGTTTAAATCAACTTCGAGATTTATTTTTGCGATGATTGACAGGCGGCAATCGGTAGCCAGAGAGAGAAAGACGGAGAGAGAGAGAGAGAGAGAGAGAAAGAGAAAGAAAAGTGGGACGGTGCGGAAGGATGGTTACCGTGGTTGTGCCAAATTGGAATGAAATGGCAGAATCGCAAAAAGAAATACATTCTCCATCGGCCATCTCTTCCCCGCGACCTCTCCAACTACGATGAAGGCTTGTATCACGAAACGATTTCGCGTCACGAGCAGAAATTTTCGTCCCTAGTTCTGTCCGCGATGTCCCACGGCTCTTTTTTTCCTCCCGGCCATTGTTTTTGTCCGTTATGGCGCGCGGATCAGCGTGGAAATATATCCTCGTTCGAGGGTTTTAATGTATTCCGGAATTTCGACCGGCACGTACTGCTGGGAGCTGTCACGGGACGGATGGACGAGAGATGATGGATTCAGTGAAATTAAATGACGGATCGCGGTATCTCTTTTTAACTTCGTCAGTCTTCCTACTACCCTCATGAAACGAATAAATTTCTATTGCCCTAGTTGCCTCGATCACGATTATGGAGATTTGGAAACATTGAATTTAAACTGTACGTTTGTATCAAACATGCGCGAGCGTGAGTAAACTGTAGAATAAAGTTTCATAAATTTCTCAAGAGAAAACGCTACGTGTTTTCGCTGACTTTGCGTTCAAAGATAATGCACAATTTTCTAAATTGGTACGCTTCTTACGTTTCGACGATTTCATTAGACGTTATTATTTCTTCCTTAACACTGGGAAGAAGAAAAATTATTGCTCATTTAGAAAGGTTTTCCGTCTTATATTTAAAGAGAGAAAGAATTGTTTTTCTAATGAAAGGAAAAGTTTAGTTTTCTCTCTGTTTAATATTAGTTAAATGCTTATAAAAGCATAAGTTCCATAATAAAAAATTATTTAATAATTATGATGACTATTTCAAATATGTTTACTGGTTTATTGATAAAAGGTTTGAAAAGGCGAAAAAAAATAACATATCCAGCTCATATTTTTACAAAATATAAAAGAATAAAATATCTTGAGATACAATTATTTGTCTCACCAGAATCGAAGGTGACTTCGCTGACCATGATCCATCGATCCGAGAAATGGAGTCTCAGCTTAACGAATTTTCCAACTCGGTGATGAAGCTTGATTGTGACGTTCCGAGAAGTCTCGAAGATCTTGTCCTCCATGTACGTGTAGGTAATGGGTTCCCCCGTGTAGTATTTCCCGCCAATACTGAAGAATATGTCAATTTGCGAAAACACCTGTGGTCCGAAAACACATGAAAATACACAGTGTTCTGAGCGTGAATTAGTTGGTATATGAATAACTGCGTAAAAGTAATGCAGGTTCGTTGTAGTTAATCGAAGGTATTATTTATTAATAAATGCCTCTAAGAGCCGAGAATGATAACACAGGTACGGATTACACGATGAATAAGCACTTCAGTAAAATTTATCGTATGTATTACGCGCATGAGTGTCTCGTCGGCATGAAAGAGGAAACACAGTACATATTTCGCAACGGCAAAATTCCTATTCCGCCTTCCGAGCTACTTTTTCACCTCCTGAACAACCGCATCGCATGCCCGTAAATTTTTGACCGCGGATAGCATTTTTCAGGGCTGACTACTTTCGTGGTCGTAAATTCACGGACGACGACCTGACAGGAAAGGAATTTCGTCGTCACGGAATGCCAGGCCCTTACTTGCTGCTCCCTGGCGAAATTGGAGTCGATGGAGATCGCGCTGCAAAATCGCGCGGCCGAAATCGATTCCAATATTGATCGTCGAATTTGTGTGATTAACTGCGGCTGCAGGTCCCGTCGCAGCGAGGAAAAAATGATTTCTGCTACGGTTAAGCGGGTATCCCGGGCTGATATGAAATAAAACGGATTACGGTAGTGGATATTAGGTAAAATGGATGCCGTGTGCACCGCGCGACGTTGATGGATAGAGTCGACTCGAAAACCTCACCGTTCGAAGAAGATTTACCGACAAAGTAGAGTGCGGATCGTTCTCGTGTGGTCGGAAGTATCACGAAAAGCCGTTATACTTTTGAGAACGTTATAAAAGTTTAATGTGTCCCTAAAGTTCGATGGAGTATATGATCTGATCATAAATCAACTATTATCCGAGGTATTATCCGTGCAGGTCGCGCTAGCTTTTTTTGTTAGTGGAAGTGTATCGAGATTGCATCCATACAATATACTTTTATTCGTTCGCTGGGCTTGACTTCACAATCCGTTCTTTCTTCCGTTCGTGCTATTTTTTCTTTCTTTAATTTCTTTTTTACAAAAGTCCACGTAAAAATATCATTTTTCGCGTCAACGCGCAAGTCGTAATCCGTTGGTAGATGGAGAAAGAAGAAACGAAGTCGCGCGCCGATCCGTTTCTCTTTGCGAAGAATAGCGATTCGTGAAGTTATCCAACACGTACGAAATCGGATTCCATAGCGTAAATGCCGGTGTCGGGAAAGCACAGCGCGATTGCCTAAACGATATCGTGTGCGAAGTGTGCTTCGTGTCGAGTGTATCAAGTGCCTGTTGAATATTCGTAAGTCACGGTCCATTTGAAATTCCGAATATTCCGGCAACGACGACGACGTCCACGACGGCGACGATGCGATGGATAATCTAGAATTCCGTAAGTTTCGATTAATGTTGAATAATTCCCGGGGAGGTTCTTAAGTGGACGATAGACTCCGGTTACTGCTACAAGCACGCTCGCGGATGTCTTTCCCCCATCTCGACTTATGCAGTCCACTTACACACGGACTTACCGAATCCGGAGTAATTCATCGAGGAATTCTGTGTACGTCGTATTCCGTTGGAATTGGAACGGGGATATATCACATCGCATAGTTGATTGTCAAGGAATATAGCGGTGGAGCCACATGTAACAGTTTGTAAGCGTCGGTCCTATAAAAGTTACCGAGTTACCGAGTTGCGCGATAAAACAAGTTTTCTCTGATTTAAGCGAATGTATCTAATAATAAAGCTGTAGTTTCTCCTGTAAAAAATCTTTATCCCAAAACATTTAATATTCTTAGAAAGAATGTACATCTATATTATTTGATAATGCATAATACATTTTTAATGTACTACGCAATACAAAATTCAGAAAGAAAAGGATGAAAAACTTCAAAAAATTAAGACGATCATATCGATTTATAATCCTCTTAACGATCTTAATGATATTGTTACAATCGTTAAATGTTGTAATAGAATAAAGTTATTAATTGGTAAGTAAAGAGATGCAATTTTTGGTTCGTCACATCTGAAGCTGCAAAGCTCAACAATGCTTTTAATCTCGTGCAGACATGTGAGATAACAACGCTTTGCCAAATTTCTCCGCGATGTCTATATCTTCCCGTCTAGTATTTTACACGTTCGATAGTTACTAGCCGTACTATAGAGAACCCGGAATACATTTCCAATGATGCGGCAGACAAGGGGAGTCGGCCTATCAGATTCGGTTATCCTAATCCGCGTCATGTAAATCCAATTTCCAGAGGTTTATCTCGCGGCAATGGCAGCCGGGAGCGATATACCGTGCGGCGGGAAGACGCGGGATTCGATGGTAACAGCAGGTAGTATCGACATGTCGATGCACCTTGCGCGAGGTGGGCGCGAGGTGGGCGCGTAGGTGATGCATGAAGATAGGTCTCTATAAAACTCGTTTGAGCTTTCCATGCTATGTTACCATCGAAGTCTCTGGAAAGGTGAAGAGATATATTTTTATATTTTTAGCGCACACATGCATATGTAAACGTGCGTGGATGCGCACGTGGATTGTCACACGTAATCTGATACGTACACTACCTATGTATAATACTGTCTAAATTTCTTGGAATGACAAAATTGGAAATTAGGGAAATGAAGGAATTAAATGTCAAGATAATTGAAAATATTCAGGGAAATCGGGGAAAAATTAGGGAATTTTTTAAAATTTTTTAAAAAATAAAAATTCTTACTTTAAAAAAGTTTAATATATATATATATATATATATATATCACATCTACGCAGTTTTGGAATACTACCAACGTAACAATTAAACGCAAGCAGTGTCAGCACTTAGCAATATTAATAGTAATTTACATTGCTATGTTAATTAAATTGCTCTTTCAACAAAATATTTGACAGTTTCTAAATTAAGTCGAAAATACAAAAAAATTATAAAATATTAAGAGTTTTAGAAAACATCATGAAATTTTGTATGGAAATCAGGAAAAAGTTATAAAATTTTAGGATGAGGAATTTGTGATAATTTTGACTTCGTATGTAATTAAATAGTAAGAACTTAAAGCGCTTACACACACACACACACACACACGCACATACCGATATTATGGTCAGGAAGCGAATAAATATAATTTATTGTAGCGTTATATATCGGATTATAGATGCAGCTCGAAAAACGTGGTGTAGCGAACTATATTAAAAAGATTCCTAGAATAATTATGACAGCGCGTATTCCATTTCGTTCCATTAGCCGGCGTGGAGTTTTATGCATTACGTTGAATAGATAACGCGCTTTCGTTCGACTAAATACGTACCGGAGGAAACGTCCGTCAGCAAAATTGAAACGGATTCGAAAGAGGAAAGAGCATTCCTAAATAAAATCGGCACGCCGAACGCGTAGAAGACCGTTACATCGACCTGTACGCGCAATCACGTGAATTTATGCACTTTGACGAGGCGGCACTCTCTCACGCAAATGAATGAGATGAGAGAGGGGGGGGGGTGTTTTCCTACTGCGAGTCGGAATATCAGACAACGAGAGAATTTCTGTGATGAACGTCCCCGCTTCTCTTATTCTCTCTGACGGAACGAGTAACGCGGGTAAATTCGTTTTTCGCAAATAAGCAGATTCGTCTCCCCTTTACGCTTATTGCATTACGACGCGCGGGGCGCACTCCAGAAAATTACCTGACTCCAGGATGATCCGCGCATGCTATTTCCAGCAGATTTCCAGTCCCAGCGGCGAAGCCTGTTTTGATGGCTAACCTGTATCGCGGTACATTATCGCTCCTGGTGAACATGTTTCATCGAATTGCTGCGCCGAAGGGGAAAATGTTATTTGGGTATAAAAGATGCGCCAGTAGAGAGATGGTAAGCGAGAGTAGAGAGCTCGAGAATGACCTGCATTGTGAAGCGCTCAGGTTTATAAGCGTAGCGCGGCGTCGTCGCCGGTACATAAAACCAACGTGTAAGGGAATTCCGAGAACGATGATCGGGTGTTAGGTGCTGCTACGTCGAGACCCCGACCACGAAGGGGTTGCAACGTGGCCGTTTTGGAGGACCGCTGACCGCTGCATCAAAGACCGGGCACATTTATGGCGCGCCGCCAGTGTGGTAGCCGCCACATCGTAGTTTGCGTGCCCGCGTGATGGTGAGCGTAATGTGTGTATAAGGGACTTTGTAATTATTGGGTTTAATCGAAGGTTCCGTCGATTTTTCAGCGCGCCCCGATTATCCGAATTGGTTATCGAAAACCCATTAGTACGCTCGCGATGAGGCGGCCGTTTTTATCACTCCTTTTTTTTTCCTACCAAGAGGATCCGAATGCACCGCTCATAAATTCAGTAATAATTCTTCGATGTATCAATGCGCGAGCTTTTAGTATTCTTGCAAACGAGCTCGAGCTCTGCTGAATAAAATACCGATTCGCGAGCGCGCATCATCTTATTCCTTGTTGCATCTCTCCACATATGCAAGAAATCTGTTGCTATTCCACCATATTAATATTCCAGTGTGTAATGTATATATTTTTATATTCTTCTGCTTTTATTTATATCACTACACATCATGCGAATACTCATTGAGCTTTACACGTACACCATGTGAATTTATATGATTTTTCGCGGTATGTAAACGCGCTGATTCCGGTTCGCCGTTATAATGTTATATATAGTTCGCCACGTAGCTCGGATTATAAAGTATGTAATCCATTTATGGTCCATCTCGCGTATGCACACATTTTTATGTTATCCACCGTGCGCGCCGCGCGTAAGGAATACCGCTCATGGTATTCGCAGCAAATTTCAACGCGCGGCTACATTCTAATTTACGTTTAACAGGCTATTAAAGTTTATATACATTCGGCAGGAATCTGGGATGAAGTTGAATCGTAATACGAATGCTACAGGGGCGTATTTGGAAGGGTGATCACTGAACCCAGCATCAAAGAGCTATACTGGGGCGTTTATACCGGATTGCTCGCCGCGCGGCTGTATTTGCGCTTTGTGCAAGATATTCACCGTTTGCGAATGCGTGCGCACGCATGGCTACGCATCCCTACAGATTTTTGACAGGCGCCAAAAAATTTTTTTCAGTTTTTCGCGGCAATTGTTTCGTCAACATTGCCGTTACAGCCGGATGTGTACGACCCTTCTGGAAAAAAAAAAAATACCGAGCGGTGTCAGTAGCGCAAAACTAACGCGAGCACGTTCCTATTTGAAGGACCTGCGCTTAACGACGTACTCGAAATACTACTGTAGATCGAAGTTCGTTATCGTTTAGATTGCTGGATCAAAGAGCTTTTCATTCACAATTTTCCATACACAGAAGCGACGTCATTCTCTGTACGTAATATTCACTTGCGTTCGCGGTTTTATCCGCTGTGTAATATTCTGTCTGTTTTATTTTTGTGCCCAATTTTTAATATAGCGTTTGGAAAATATGTTTGCCCGCTTAAGTGGTATATCTTCACATTAATCTGGTTAATCGATCCAAAAAAAATTCTGTCAAAGTGGAACAACGAAAACTGGTCTTGCTCTTTCGATAAAAATGACAAATTTATAATTTATAAAAAGTAATAATAATACTTTTGAAAGAATGTGTTAATATTAAATATTTTTCTGTTGTATAAATTCAGAATAACCGAATTTTTTTGCATAACGCGCGGTATTACGACGTAATCTCTTCTCTCCCCTGCGATTTCAACGCAAAAGAATTATTCGGGGCAATTTTACTCGGATCAAAATTCGGTGCTTCCGTTTCTGACAACGTTCAATAATCTCCCATGCATATTTCACCGCACGCGCCGTCGAGCCTCTAAACGAACTGTAGCATATGACAGAATACGCGTGCCTGTTTAAAGCGGATTTGTCTCGGATACGATGAAACATACAATATGTGCGGTATGAACTGTGTCGTCGGAGAGTTTTCGTATTTTCGGTATGCCGTTATTGGATGATTGTTATGCTATGTGATTATCGATAATGAATGTTCATACATTATAGATATTGCCAATTTCTGCCTCTCTCTCTCTCTCTCTCTCTCTCTCTCGTTCTCGCTTCGACTTATAGTACGTCGTCTAATAATGGGTATTATTTCTTCTTTCGGATCTCGCATTGTTATGTTTTATCTCCTAATATAATCAAAGTATCAAATCATAATAAGAAAAGTGCATTGCGGTGCTTTGGTATAATAAAACACGTGCCTGTATGTAAATCGCCGCGGGTCGGCTGTCATAATCCTATCGAATCGTCAGATCTACGTAGGACGACGCGGTGAGATCGCGATTTGTGGGCATACACAAATGAAAATTACACGGCGGATCGAATTATATAACTTGGCGCAAGCACGAGGAATCCTCTTTATAAGCCGCCTCCGCGAACTCATTTCCGCGACTACAACGCGCTGAATCACGGATATGGCGAATGATGCGAAAAGTTTCCTATCTGCTTCTCAAGAAGCATCCGGGAATTGTTTTTCTTCCATCAAGTATCTTTGCTCGAATTTTCCGTCTTTCCCTTAAGTTCCGCGAGTAAAAGTTGAAATTACGAAACAGGGGTTACATCTTGGGTATGAGGGGTGTAAGATTCACAGGAGAAATTCCGCATCTATCGCGAATCACGACAGTAACGTTGGTATTCGCAATCAGCGAATAACTTATTACAATCTCGCGTGTTCAGTACATCGCGATTTATTACATTAAATTTATCATATTAAACAAAACCATTCCATGAATATCAACGTTTTCGATGTTTGAATTCCAACTAAAGCAACGTATGTCGCTGCAACGTGTGCATGAATTCCCCATTGAGATTCGCAAGATTCCTCGTGAAATAACGCGGCTAATAGCCGACTCAGTGCGATCATCGCACCGAGACCGTGATGGCAGATATCAAACTGCCGGAATTGCTGTTCCATGGTGTATTGATATTCAACGGGTGTCTGCCTGATAAAGCGTCGAGTGGAATATTCAATCAAGCGTGGTGGCGAGAGGGTGAGCGGGAACAGGCGGGGGAAGGGGGTGCATCTTGCCGACCAGATGCTGCGACGACTAAGGTAGACGGTGACGGTAAAAGGTGGAGAGGATCACGAAGAACCGTGGATGGCGAGCGTGTTGATCGACGCTGCTTGCGCATTCCTGGCGAGGACTAAGGAATAACGTCGCTAAAGCGAAGGTAAACGATTCCTCGGCGTCAACGAGTTCACGAAGAGGATCCTTGGCTGGAGAAGTAATTCGATATACAAGCGGCGCGTGCTCCGTTCTGATCGCATGGATTCTTTAGGTTTTTCCGGAATATTACAGCGTGAAATCGCGACGAATCGAATGGCCCGAGAGATTAAACGTGTGTTTAAAATAAAGTGTATCTCGTTTGGAAGGACGAGAGAAATCCTCTCGACGCTTTTCTGCCCGACGTACTTTAGCTCTTAATACGGACCTACCGCGCGTCAATCTCTCAGTAGAGAGGATTTATGTTTTATATATATATATATATATATATCTACTACTATTATGTAATGGTAACAATGTGTTATTGTTATGCGATTATACACTTGCTCTACATTAAAGTATCAGTACAAATGTAACAAGTTGCGTAACTGGTTTAAGATTGCTCTTATGGTTACGTGACATTCAGTTTTATATTCTTTATAAATTTTTTGGAATGAAATCTTATTTTAAAAAGTGAAAATTAAGCTAGTCTTGAAAAAGAGTGACTCAATTTTTAATCTTTAAAAGTGAGATTTCATTCTTTAGAGTGAAATTCATTCCAACAGAGTTTTAGGGAGTCTATTTTTATAATAATTATTACAATTATATCCTTGGAATTATTTTGGAAAATATTAATTTTTTTGTTTTATATAAACTTTTTGTTTTAAAAAGATATATAAATATATCGTTTACGTAGAATTACGATTATTACGAACCTGGACGCCTCGAGTGAATTCGTTATTGCAGTAAATATGGACGGCGGAGAATTCCCTGACTTTGTCGAACTCGAACTTGATCTCGACCGGTTGGCCGCGGCTATCGTTCCTCCAGCCCACCCAGCCCTGGGCGCGATCGTTATCATAGTACATTTTGAAATTATCAGGCCCCGTTCTGCCATCCGTCAGTTGACCCAGGCCACGGCGCAACTCGCCGTCCCAGTGCCCGTCGTAGGTCGCGTCGAAGAATTCCCACCCATTGCTTCTTTTATCGCCTTGGAGCATCGAATAGGACACCACACCGTCTATGGGACGAAAAGTCAAGATACGATTGTTGACCCAGCTATCGATGATACTGTCTTCAATTTGTTCGAAAGTAAATCGTACTTTTTCTATTTCTTTATGACAGATACACAATTAATTATTATACAGATATATAATATATATATTAATAATCGCAGCGTATATTAACATAAATAAATGTGAATTTTATATGTAGTACATGATTTTTAATGAAATGTTTAACGCTTAGCAATATGAAATATAAACTAAATATATTTATTAAATTTTTTTAAAAGAATCTGATTGCGATTTTTTTATAAAGTCTAACAAGTTTGCCTATAAAATTAACTATCTATTAGATGTATCGATAATGATCAAAATCTCATGCATAATTTAATGTTAATCTAAATAAATCATATATGATATATTTCTTCGTATTGCATTAAGCACTGAGAATACATAAAAAATCAAAGATTAATATTTTTCCATTTAGGGGAAAGTTGCCGAATGCGTACCATTTAACCTATTTTTTATTATATTTTTCATTTGGCACTGTTTTATATGCAAATGAACATTAGAAATTGTAGCTTGAGGTTTCGGACGCTTATTATTACATGTTTAACTTTCCACCAATAACAAATTAATTTGTTATAGATCTTTTTGTAACATGCTGCAAAAGGTACGATTTAGGCAACCGATCGCCTAAATCGTACCTATAGGTATTTTTTATCGTATTTCCTTTGGAAGTATTGAATTTATGAATGAAAACAATTAAAAATATAAGATTAATAAAAGAAATCATTAACTAATACCTAATAATTAATTAATACCTAATTTTAATAATTTATTGAAGAAAATCAAATATTTTATAATTATTAAATAACAATAATAAAAAAACAAATGACACAAAAATAAATTTGCTTATATTTATTTTTGCACTTGATATTTATATTGATATCAGTTATTAGTTTTATTATTGTCAGTTATCAGCCTTATCTTTTGATGGTACGATTTAGGAAACTTGACGAATTTTGTAAAAATATCGATTTAATCTTTACAATGATTGCAAATATGTATATACAATGAATGTAAAATACTCTACAATAAATCTTCTTTTATAAAAATACAAAAATTTATAATAAAATTGGATGATCGCGTTGTTATCAGCTACATAAGTTGATTAAAAATTAATATCAGATGTACCTGATTTTTTAAAACGTCGTTAACATCCATAGAACAAGATGTAGGCTATTACATTTTTGTCTATATTACTCACTTCTCATATATTTAATATTATTGTTACTAAATATTGCCTATATTAACTAATAACATAAAATATTGATAAGATACGATTTAGGCGACCAGTACGCATTCGACAACTCTCCCTTATATAATTTCATTTAGACACTTTCATATTTTAAATTCATTTTAATCATTTAAGCTACTTATGGAACAAACTATTCGTACAAGCGTGTTTGAGCGTTATAGAGAATGATCTTATAGTTTAACACGCGTACTAATGATTCACTGTATTTCCGGCATTGAAAGCACCCATTCGAAGCCCGTAGCTAATTCGATTCCCGGGCGAAAACGGAATTATACAAGCAAGATTTTGAAAAGCAAATTTGCTCTGGGCACGCCGGTATCAGGGTTAATGGACAGTCCGGTGGGTGTACCGGTCCGCAGCAAGTTTCACGAAAATTGGCGAGTGCAAACAGCTTACCGCTCCAGTAACACCCGTAGAGCTCGACCCGCATGCAAACCGTCCGCCTGTGATAGCTGTAGGGTAGAAAACGGATCTTGCTCGCCCACAGAGGCGGCTCCAGCTCGTGCTTGGACTCCAAATACGTGTTCGTGTTACCCTGTATTACCTGAAAGCACAGAAAGCGTCAGTTCAAGTACAGGACAATTTCAGTTTTCGGTCCGGCACGGCGTTTGAGCTTTACCAGACCGGTCGACGTGAGTCTCATTAGCTCTCTTTCCGCAACGGCGTTACATTAACTTCAGACAGTCGGATATTTGACCACGTGCACCATTTCCCGTTCTACCGCGCTTTTTGTACCATTATATCGGACGATGCCGATGTACGAGTGGATGCAAAACAGCGGACTTTTATATGTACCAACAGTTTGCGAGATAAGAATTTTTAATATACCATACATTTTCGAGCTGTAACTTCAGCGTGGTATCTTATGCATACGTAAAAGGAAAAAAGTCTACGCGTTATTGATAAGTTATCTTGGATGATCAAATTGCCGTCGTAAATTTCTTCGTTATATTAATGAATTTATGACGTCCTTCGCAATTCCATGTACAACGTCCTCACGTGTATCAATCAGATAATCCGTCAGGTCGGAAAAAAGCATCGGACGCGTTACTTTATGTCCCGATTGGAACGTCGCGATTGTCTGGCAGTAGCCAATGACATTTATATCGTCTGGACAATGTCTGCGTTTTAGCAGCGCGAAATGCAGCTCTCCTCTCCTTCCCTAGACTTGGATATGTCCTGTCACAGAGTGGACATTGCGTTCCATGGGATCAGACGGGGGTTAAGGACTAATTTCACTCTACATTCCACCGCATTAGGTCCGACAGAGACCACACGGAGAGACAGGAAGAGATATATACAGACAGAGAAGCCAACACGGATGGGCAAATCGAGAAGGGACGAAGGGTTCGCGACGGGCGCAGGCAGTAAACGGAGGGTGGAGAGGGTTGAGTTAAACGTCCGCCGTCCGCATTCCCTGATCCCCGTCGAGGCAGCGAACGTGTTGCCGTCGTTGACGACGTCTCTCTCTCCTCGAGCGTGTTGGGGCGACGGTGCAATATTGATTCCACGTTGTGGGTTTATGAATAAAATAAGCGGTTTATCCGACGGTGGTGTGTAGGGTGGTATACGGTGTACAGAAGATGCGGGGCGTGCGGGCGAGTGGCATAGTCCCACGGGATCACGCGAAGTGGCGTTGCCCATGGTGAGTAGATAGCCAGGTACGCTTATATATAGGTACATGTAGTGTGCACACACATACACGTATATACACGCTGGGTTAGATGGTACATATTATACAGGGTGTTTCGGAAGATGTGCATTTTCTCTCCTATAATTATCTACAAACTCTTCTAGACAGGCTCGAAAGCAATGTCCCTTCGGGGCGAATCTCACGGCACGGTTAATTGCCGAGTCATTGGGCATTGAGAATTGAATAGCCGAAGTGCAAATAGATAACAAGAAGTGATTATAAATCGAGTGTACTTAAACAGAATCTTAATTAAAAGTTTAATGAATGAGATGTTTAATGATAAAAATTGAAACATTACCATAATGGCAATCTAGTCAATTTTTCGTTACAAAATGATTTCGAATTTATTGAAGTCTTTAGCTAGAAAAAAAAATGTACAATTCTTAATATGCACACGTACACACACACACACACACACACATATATATATATATATATAAAAGCGTGCTTTTTCTTAATTTTTTCTTAAAGTAGGCATAAATTAATATATATTAACATGTATATGTTCATAGTTAAATCTATATAAACATATGAATGTACGTTTTCGTCATGTGGCAATGAGTTCACAACACAATTGCGCGACAGAATGTTTTGCGGTGGACAACGCATTCTGTGCACGTCTTGTGGTTGAACATACGTTCCATGCCTTTAGCCACCTTCTACCACTTTTCGGTGCACCCATGCGCTGACCTTTACTACTACACTACCGTCGACGTGGTTGCCGCGCGGGACCCTATGTCAAGATGCCCTAACGTGGTCCTTTGGGACGTCCTTACGGGCTCAGTACTGCTATATACATATATTCACAGGATAAACAGCTGACCTATTTTCGCTCTGTTCGTATATCGATTTAGACGTTATTTCCTATTTCGACTCAGCTGTTTTCAACACGCCATTACTACTTTCAAATGACGCTTCCATGGCTCCACAATTTTTGAAAAACACTATTCATTTGATTCATTGCCATATAATGAACCCAACTTTCTTTCGGCACACATATAGCGGAGTTCAATTACCGAGACGTAAAAGCGTTTCTTGGGTTTTCACTGGCAACCCTTGCTTCTGTTCTCCAGAACTACTCTATCGTTTCCTTCTTCCAGAAACAGATACTTCGAAAGTAGTCCCTAAGGCGCGCCCTTACCTCCTTACCAACGGATAGCTTACTGCATCCTGGGTGAAAAACTCTCCGTGTTCGGGGGTCGATTCTTTCTCATTTTATGGCAACCAGGGACCTATTTCAGCTGCGCGTTATGTTGCTACCGGTTTTCACAGCAGGGTAGTATCAAGATCTTGCACCCTTGATAGTTAACTGTCTGTCTATGTGTTTGCAAGAAATAATATTTGAAGGTAGAATAATATTTGAAGGTGTTTATTTTTGCAACAACTTGTTAATACTAACTTGATAAACACTGGATACGTAACAATTAAAACAACAATCAAATTAAAATTCATATTTGTTAATGCCGTTAATATTTTTGGTACATGTGTATGAAAAGCTAAACTGATTAATAAGAAATATGATGAAATGTAGTTCGGATGTTGTCAAAATATCTCATATGTTTGGTAATATTACCAATCATGAAATTAACTGGATTGCAGCAAACTTGATTATAATGTGTTGTGTAATATTAATATATATATATAATATCTGTCATTTTCGTTTTATATCGTACTATTAATTTGCATTAGATTGTTGATTCATGAGCATAATTACCATTTTCACGAGCTATTAATCATCTAATCATCATATGTAAATCGTCGAATTAAATGCGCTTCACCCTGGCGTCATTACACAAATGCACAATGATTCATGAGATGTGTACATGAGACATTATATGCACCATAATATTTATGTGTATTATTTGAAGAGCCGTTTGCGAGATAACTAATTATTACTTTGTACTATCCCAATTGAGAAAAAGAAGTTTCGAAAGGTTAGAAAAGATGATTTGTGAGATACCATTGCAGATCTACGTGCTTTTTCAACGTTATTTCTTATTTTTTTTATTATATTTTCATCCTCGTGCCCGTACGTACTTTACTGCATGCCTATAAAGGTCAAATGTTAAGCAACGATTATATAGGTACTATCGTGTAATAGCTTAGGGAATGTTAGAGATGTTTTTGTGCTCGCACGAGAATATGCATATTTAATGTTACATTGTATTGTTATGTACAGAGAATCATAAACAATAATTCGTAAATTTTGTGACCGCGTAAATTTTAAGACCGTGATTCTAAAAAGTAAATATTTTTATCTTACGAAATATTTTGTAACAGAAAATTGATAATCGTAAATCATGATAAACCATTGATAAAATACATTGGAATTGTTGGTACAAAATGGATAGAGAACGCGCAGTTAAACGGAACGTAAAATGTTTTTGTTTGTCAGAATTAAGGAACGTCGACGGAACAGAAAATGAAAACGGCAAGCCATTTTGCAAACGAATGACAACCGGATGACGTGACCGAGCACGAGATGGGACATCTGTCGGCTCTTATACGTCTATCGCGTTGCACCAGCGTTGCAAAATTATGCAGCTGGCACTTTCTCGAGACAGAAACAAGTGCACGGCGATGGAAAGGGGCGTGCACAATGTAAAAGAGTCAAGAAGATGCAGCAGCCCGATGGAACTTTATCGTGACGGCTTCTTCAAATCGTAATGGCTGCACGCGCAGTTTACGGCGGAAGTGTATCTCGTAAATATGCATCTCCGATGACGTCACGATCGAAGTGCATTTCAAGGATGCTAGATGTGGTTATAAACTTGCTAAATTCAGATGCCATTTAGGAAGTGAGTCACTTTCCTGAGACTTTATCGCGATCATAACGTAAAAGTTGGCCGTTTCAATTTTTCCACGCATCCGTAAATATAATGTTTAAAGTTATTTAAAAATGGTAAAAAAAAGCATTCCAAATATTCAAAAAATAATCAACCGGGAGAGGAAATTCCATTTTATGTGTTAATCCTGTAACGAAAATGTTTTTCATTCATCTGAAACTTCTCAAATTTTCAATGTACTATAGACAAATAACATCCCTCTTCTACATAACATACGCATCTAATGTCGATAAATATTATTCTATTTATTTTTTATACTTCTCTATGCAACTTTCTACAGCCTATTTCATTGAATGTTTGCTCTGTGACGGTTCAATTTTGAATGCTTTAGGTGGGACCGAAAGAGGTTGACGAAAAAATTTGGTGAGCCAAGCGAACCGTGCTCTTCCTTCTCGTGTGCGATTTTGAAGTGTTCATAACTTATGCCCATGTTCGTTTTTTGCCTGTCGAAACGCCGTATAAAACGAATTTATTGCGTCGGCGCATGCATGTCGTGGCGGTGGCTGCCTCCGCGAATATTTTCGTGCACTTCTCTTGAATGATGCTATTGGAATTTCGTTCGTCGATGGGCCGATATTTTTAGGACGTCCTACCTATTACCGATTATGGTTCTACTACTTCGCTTCCATCGACATTTTATCCGTAAATAATATTCGTTTTTTTTTTTAACCGAATGTGTTGCTTGAACAATGTATGACTTAATTCGATTCTCTCAAATTAAAAGAAAAATTTGTTGTTAGAACGGAGAAAAGACGTTGTTTCGCGTTTTCTTTACATTTCCCATCGTAAATTTCTTATCTTTTACATCTCAAAATTTTTATTTTATAGGAAATAATAAAGGAAATACATAATATATGAATCTCGCGAAAACTGCGTATAAGTTTTTCTTATACATTAGCTATAATATAATTTAATTATGATATTCTTATAAAAGATATCTTATATTGAAACTTTATCTTCTATCAAGAATACATAGTAAAAAACATTTCCTATTTCTGTTAGAAA